TTTGTTTATTATAGTTGTAGTTTTTGATTTTTTTTTTTTTTTGTTTTTGTTTTAGTTTTATAAATTTTACAATTTTAAATACAAAATTCATTTACCCTTTTGTGTTTTTACAATATATTATCATAAAAAATAATAAATAAGAATTTATTTTTTATTTTTAAGACACATAATAAAAAAATCAAAAAAAAAAAAAAAACTCAAAGAAATGATATCGTGAGTATCTCCATCACACTACGGACAGTGAATCATACGTGTTCAGGTGCATATGGACCGTCCACGATATATCTGGGACCCATGCGGAAAGAAATTATACTTTAATAAACTGAGATAATCCGATCCAAATTTGATGTAACCTGTTTATGTACTTTCATCGTGATAAATGAAGGGTTGATGGAGTAGATTCCCCAAGAAAATGAAAATTGCAGAAGTAAACAAAGCTATTAAATTCTCTAACCAAAAAGGTTCTGGTCTTAAATTCTCCCACCTCGTTCCAGTCCCCCTACTTGATGCCCCATCATCAAAACCATTTGCATTTCACACCTCACCCATCCTTTGAATTTTTTTGAAACATTATATAATTAGTTATTTTTTTTTTGAACAATTTGTAATTATTTACAAGATTAATTGAGGGAGGAGAAAAGAGATTTCGTGGAGTTCGAACGTACAATTCACGGAAGTGAACAATCTTAACCCAAGATCCAATATCACTGGATCGGAACGGACCGTTTATATAATTAGTTACTCACTGTAGTAGATATTTGAATTTTTAATTTTTTAATTATGATTTTAAATTAAAATTTTTAACTTAATAAATGTTAATTTAACTAAATTTTTGTTGTTATTATTTTTTTCTGTATAACTACAAGAACAATGGAATTAGTGTGAAATTTATTAATAAATAAATATTATTTGAAAAACATAATTTTAAAATATATAAAAATTAATTAAAAACAATAACTATTAGTATAAAAAAATTAACACATACACAAGAAGAAGGGGAATAAATACGTTATAAGAAAGCCACCGACCGACTTCGAGCATTACATTTGCAGCAAATGGCGTGGTGAAGATAAAAATTTGAGCAGTGCTAGGGGCACTCGCCTCCTGCACTCTTCAGCCAACACATGCCTTTTTATTGGGCCACGTAAGCTTGCTTTAGGTTACGAAATGATCACCTCTCT